GGAACCCGCACCCCTCCTGCAGTGGAAGTGCACAGTCTTAACCACGGGATCACAAGTCCAGTCTTCTGCTTTTTATTGGCCTCAATTGGGTCATGTGCCAAAAACCATGAGCCATGGCCAGTGGTCAGAATTAAGCTCATGAGTTTTTAGATTGAGCCATATATCTCATTTATTATTAACACCACCAAAGTGGGCTATTCCCCATTGGACACCTCCCCCACGCCCCCAAAGCACAATTGCACCACACTGGGAAGTAAATAAAAGGCAGTGGGAGGTAGTTACCAACAGAAGAGGGAATGAATTTACAGAGACTATCAGCTTTGCTCAGTATTATAGCCAATGAGGTTTATCCGAGGCAGGATTACAGAGACTACCAGAATGTCTCTTAATATCTTGCAACCTGTTTTCAGCCCTAGAAACCAAAGCACCCTCTCTACAGAACAGCTAATAAACTTCCCAAGGCACAGGAGCCCAAAGCCGAGACCCAAAATCTCCATTCTCTTTTAGGTGGGTGAAGATCAGCTTCCCCTTTGTTTTGTTTCCTCCAAGAGCAGCAAAAACAAAACCCAGATTTCATTTCTCAGTAAATTAATCTGCCACACTATCCCTGTAGTTAAAGTCTTTTCTGACCTCTTTTGGGGCAAGAGAAAGACCATTAAGACCAAAAATCCTTAATTAGAACAGAAAAGACTAGGATAAATGGACTTCAAGAGGATCTGAACCACCTAAAGTAGCTTGTCAAAAAAAATCAAGAATCTTGACCCTTGGGAAAATAGAGCTACTGCTTCAAACACACCAATATTTGATTCAAAGTATACATTTAGTAAAACATAAATAGTTGTTGCTTCTCTAGTTCACTCATCTCCACACTCTTATTTTCCACATTTCAAATCAAAAGGTGGGCTAGTGAATCTTGGGTGCAACCATAATTTCCTTCAAGAGTTAAATGGATAAATAAAACTCTGCTACATCCAGACAATAGAATATTACCCAGACCTAAAAAGAAATGAGCTATCAAACCACAAAAAGATAAGGAGGAATCTTAAATGCGCATTGGGAAATGAAAGAAACCACTCTGCAAAGGCTGTATACTGTATGATTCCAACTATATGACATTCTGAAAAAGGCAAAACTATGGGAACAGTAAAAGGATCAGTGGTTGCCTGGGTTTGGTGGCGGGTAGGACGTGTAGGCAGAGAATAGCAGATTTTTCAGGGAATACTTCTGTCCAGAGCCATAGACTGTACAATACCAGGAATAAATAGCAGTGTAAACTATGGACTTGGGTTGATAATGATGTGTCAGTGTAGGCTCACTGTAGCAAAGATACCATCTGGTGTGGGTTGTTGATGGTGGGGGAGGCTGTGTGTGGTAATTTACTTTTCACCCAATTTTGCTATGAACCTAAAAATACATTTTTTAAAAAGTCTATTTTTAGACTTTTTAAGAACAATTCAGGCCAGTATTATGAAAGAACATAGAACTGAGAGTCAGGAGATCTTGATTCGAATGTGGACTGTCATTTACAAATGTGTAATCTTAAATTAGTTTAAGCTTTGTATGTCTTAGTTCACTCACCTATCAAATAAGGATAATATTCACCCATCAGATTTACTGTGAAGAGACAACATAGGTACTTTCACAGAACACACAGTAGGTGCTCAAAAAAATATTTGTTGAGAGTGAAGAGAGAGAGAGAGAGAGAGAGAGAGAGAAGAGGAAAAGACAGGGAGACCAGAATTTCATAGAGTCAAATGAAGGTGGAGGCATTTTATGACAAGATCCACCCATCAGTGATTGATGGTCAGATAATCAGGGTTATTTTTTCCCTCATCTGTTACAGTCCACTTTGGATTTTGGCTTTATCAAATTATTATTTAATGAAGTGTCCATTATCATTTTAATTACTCAGACCACTACCCTTGCCTTTGTTCTCCACTGAGAGCTGATCAAAAGGAATGCGATTTGGGGTAGGTTTTGTTGTTGTTGCTGGTTTTCATTTATTTAAAAAATATTTGTTGTGAACCTAAATACTGACTGGTACTTATGCTGGACACTGAGGATGAAGCAGTAAATAAGCCAGACCTGGATCGAGTGGTTACAGGGTGATGTCTATTGCCGACGAAGAGAGGAATAGTCAATAGACAGCAATAATCAAACCATAACAAACTGTTTTGCGTGTTACAGTGGGAGGCACGAGAGCCAGGAAAATATATAGCAAGGGGAATGAGTAGCATTTATGATGGGGGAAGGCCTCCCTTGATGTAGATCTAAGTGATATGTGCGCTGAGGTCTGAGGCATTAACAAGAAGGAATAGGGCCCTAGGTTAGAGTGCATAGCGCAGCACACTGGTTCTCACCCTTAAAAACAAAAATTTTATTGGAGTGCAGTTGATTTGCCACAATGTCGTGTCCGTTTCAGGTGTTCAGCAAAGTGGTTCAGTTATACATAAACATATATTCCTTTTTAGATTACTTTCTTGTATAGGTTATCACACAATATTGAGTTTCCTGTTCTATATAGTAGGTCCTTGTTGGTTATCTGTCATATATATAGGAGTGTTAGTTGCTCGGTTGTGTTCGCTTCTTCGAGATCCCATGGACTGTAGCCCACCAGGCTCCTCTGTCCATGAAATTCTCCAGGCAAGAGTAGTGTGTATGTTCATCTCAAGCTCCTGATTTATCTCCCCCCAATAGTCTAAGGGCTTCCCTGGTGGCTCAGAGGTTAAAGCATCTGCCTCCAACGCGGGAGACCCGGTTTCGATCCCTGGGTTGGGAAGATCCCCTGGAGAAGAAAATGGTAACCCACTCCAGTATTCTTGCCTGGAGAATCCCATGGATGGAGGAGCCTGGTGGGCTACAGTCCATGGGGTCGCAAAGAGTCGGACACGACTGAGCGACTTCACTTTCTTTCACTAGTCTAAGGTCACACAGCTAGTTAATGATAGAACCAAGCTTAGGATTCATTTGAGTCCTAGACTAGGACAATTTCTGTTATACCAGGCTCTTTCATATTGTTCCCAGGCTCTAAGACTTTGCCACCTTTTGGAGAAATATTAATAAAACTAGGCACATGACAGTTTAGTAAATCAGAATACATAGATGTAAAGTAGCGTTTTGTTCAGTTAAAAAAGGAAGGAGTGAAATAAATCTTTTTGAGCTCAGAAAGATCAGCAGCGATTTGCAACTTAGGTTGGGAAAAACTCCCCCTCCATGGATGCTCAGTCTTCCTGCTCATCTGCTCCCACATTGCCACCAAGTGCACTGTGCCTCCAGGTAGCCCCCGAGAAAGTCACTGGGGGAACCACAGACCAGAGGTCTTTTTGTCTGCCCGTGCACACCATCAGGATTGTTTAGCTCTTCTGGCAAAGCTCCTAGTTAAAGAGATTGTTAGTATGTCTCTCAGGCTTCTGTTTTGAATGGGAAAGACATGGTAGTCTACATAATGTACCACCACCAAGATGACCAAAATGTACTTGAAAATCTAGAAGTGAGGGAAGACCAGTGGATGTCTTTTGAGTGTACGTATGACTTTTTAAGTTCAGAGTAGAGAATTGGGTGCATTAAAAACCCAACGAAGGCACAGAAGCTAAACAGCTACACACCAATAATCCTACTGAGAAAACCAGTCCAACCAGACCAAAGGAGTGATTTCCAGTTAAATTTTTATCTTTCCTACACTATGGTTGTGAAAAAAAATAAATAAATAAAATGTATGATTTACTAAAAAAAAAAAAAAAGTAAATTAACCCCTAGAGATGCTCTGTTAGGATGATGGGTTTCAATAAAACTATAACTTGAAAAAAAGAAAAAAAAATGAAAGCAACTTTTAATAAAACACAGGACCTTCAAAAATCAGGTAACCTTTTAGTTTAAAATTACTCTAATAAAAGAGTTACTAAATATTAAAAAAAATTTTTTATCTTTCCTTGGAGAATATTCTACCTTTCATTTTTTAAAATATATTTATTTCTTTGGCTATGCCAGGGTCCTAGCTGTGGCACACGGGATCTTCAGTCTTTCTTGCAGCATGCAGGATCTTTAGTTGCAGCATGTGGGATCTAGTTCTCTGACCAGGGATCGAAGCATGGAGTCTTAGTCATTCCCCATCAGGGAAGTCCCATTCTACCGATCATTTAGTTGATACATTGCCAAAAATAAAGCAAAGTTTGGTGGAAACGGTTAAAGCAAGCTGTATTTTATACCTTCACATTGGGAAATAATGATTTCACATACTGAGCCCTGAGTTCAAGTTCACTCTTACACAAAGAATAACGCAGTGTGTAAACAGTGTAAACACAGGCTGCTGTCCAGAATAAGTGGTGTGGTGGTGCTGAGGCATGAAAAAGAGCCAGGGGGCTGTCCTATGGTGGTGGTGGTCATGAGGGGGTCTGAAAGGTAGTGCCTAAGACCTTAAATTTGATCCTTTCCAGTGGTAGTGTTGATCCTTTCAAACAGGGTGGGCAGGGGGCGCATGAAACAGAGCCGGTGACCTTAACAATTAATCCTGTCCAATGATGTTAGGGGGCATTCACAGGAGGGGGGTAGGGGTAGGGACGAAATGAAGTGTCAGTGACCTTATAATTGACCCTGTCCAATGATGGTGGTGGTGGTTGCATCAAATAGTGACTTTTCAATTAAGCTTGCCCAAAGGTGTTGGCCCATGAAGGACGGTGGGAAGGGAGAGTTGGTGGTAACCAGGGGCGCGAGTGACGAAATAAGGAGGCACTGACTTAACAATCCTGTCCGAAGGTGAAGGGTGGGGGCGGAGGGGGAAGCACGAAACAGGATCAGTGACATAATGAATTCTGTCCAATAGTGACGGGCAGGCAGGAATCCGAACCGGTGAGTTTATTCTGCCCAACGGTGGTGGTGGTGGTGGTGGAGGGCATGAAGCAATCTCTGTAATTAAGTGGTAAACAGAAAATGAAAACGTATCAAGATGCAACGAATACCCTGAAGTGCAAGTCAGCTGATCCAGGGAGGGCTTGCCGGAAGAGATGCCTTCGGTAGAGAGGGGCCTTGAGCAGCGTACGGATCGGACTCCGGGCGAGGGCTTCGGGTCTCTTCCCAGTCTCCTTGCACCTCCGCCACCTTTCAGTCGCGGAGGACCTAGCCCCGGACGGGACCCGGGTCATCTGCACTTGCCGGGCTTGTTTGGGTCCCAGAAGGCAAGGAGGGACGCACCGGCGCCGGGCTGCGCCCGGGCGAAAGAAAGCGAGGGCAGCAGCGACCAATCAGCAGCCAGCGCGTGCGGCCGCGCGCCCCTCGCGACCCGCGTACGTGCGGCGGCCGGCTCCGCCCCCGTGGGCGGGGCCTGAGAAAGCCGCGGGCGACCGGCGGCGGCCAGGGAGCTGTTGCTGCTGGTGCTGCGGCGGCTGCACCAGCGGCGCCGAGGCGGAGGCCGGGCTGCGCGCTTGGCTAACGTGCCCAATCCGCGCGGCTCAGCTGCACCGGTCCTTGCGGCCGCCTGAGCGTCTCGGCCGGTCTCTGCGCTGTCGGGGCGAGGATGCGGCTGTTCCGGTGGCTGCTGAAGCAGCCGGTGCCCAAGCAGATTGAGCGCTACTCGCGCTTCTCGCCATCGCCGCTCTCTATCAAGCAGTTCCTGGACTTCGGTAAGTGTGGGGCCACGGTCCCCACGACCCCAGGGTGCGGAGGCGCTACCTTCCGGGCCCGCCGCCGCGGGTCTCCGCGGCCTCTGGGCGAAGTCCGTGGGAACCGCGGGCGGGGCTCCGGGGCCTTTCCCAGAGGCTCGGATTTGGGGGCACGGAGGGGTAGGGCCTGGCACCCGCACACCCGCCGAGGGCTCACCCCGAGACCCAGAAACGGCGTCTGAGGAGCATCAGCCGGGCGGCGGGGCTTCCCAAACTTGCCGTCGTTAGCTTCCAATCTGCTTGACATGGCCGTTAAAACTTCGGAGCGGAATGTGGGTGGCTTTTCAAGGGTTTTATGTTTAGTTAGTTGGTTTTTTTTGTGTGTGTGTGTGTATGTGTTGGGTAAGACCTGTTTAGAAACACCTTGCGGTCGAATAAATTAGGCGACGATATTTCGTTCCTTTCCTGCTCTGAGGTGCTCTTAGGCACCACCTAAGGTGGCAAGAGCGGCTGGACCCGAACTGCTGTCTTGGTGGTGGTCTGTTGAAGCAGTTGGAGGCCTGGGTTGCGACCGCCTTAGATGCTGGGGAAGAACGGACGTGTGGGTTCCTGGTGCCAGAGCAGGGTCGGGTGCCACACCTTTCGTCGTGCCTCTCCCGCGTCCCCTCGCTTCTCCCCTGTGCGGTGGGCTGCTGGGCAGCTTCCACGAAGTGAGGTGCGAGCGCAGAGGACCCGGCCCCCAACCTGCCTGAGGCCTAGCTGAGATGGGGATAGAGTCCACGACGTCCTGTTAACTGGACCGTGTTTCCCAAGTGGTGCCGGTGCAAGCACGCAGGGAATACTCACAATTGCTGAATGCGAGGCAGCTGGTTGGAAAACACGTGAAAGTGATAAAACCGAAGTGCGCAGCCGGGTATCGAGTCGGAGCACGGCGTCCTGGAAAGAAAAGAAAATGGAGCGGCAGAGATGTTCTAAGCTCTCAAGGGAAAATAATGGGGCAGCTGGTCGTTTAATGAGTCTTAAGTAAATGTCAAGAGATGATGTCAGGTGGGCATAAAAACCCAAGTGCAGAGTAGGTGGCACATTCGGGGAAAAGCCAGAGCACCATGTGATGTTGTCCACATTTGGGCTAGGACGAGCGGAATTGGTTAGTTGAGACCAAATTAAATGTTAAGAAACCAATTTGCCAGCAAATGATGAGGGAAATCAGAATTCGGTGATAGGTGGATCTTTGCATCTTAAACTTCTCTCCCAGAAGCTTTTCATTAGTTTTACTTGACCATCTCTGTCACTTGTGAGAAGTTGAGAGGTTTCAGGCAGCGCCCCTGCCCTCTTCAAAGTTTAAAAAGAAAATGTCTCTGTTGCTATAAATAGCATTTTCCATCCCTAATGTGTGGTTTAGAGAGAGTCTGAAGGTATCTGCTTTTCACTGGGGTAAGCTGAGACAGGTTAATTCACAATAAAAGACATAAAAAGAATCCAGAGCCTGCTACTTCCCTCCTTCCACTCTCCCAAGTTGAAGTGGTAGCCCTGGTAGCTTGGCGACATTTTGGTTGATTTATTTCTGTAGCAGCTCCTATCTACCACATTAATAGGTGTTCTGGCAAAGATGTTATTTGAGGAGGAAAACCACAGTGGGGGATAGTGTTATCGTGGGAAACCTATGGGACCATGATCTGGAAAGAAATGTTCTAATTCTTGCTGTTCCACTGACTCAAGAGCCTGGCCTTGGCTGAAGGACTGAACTCACTAGAGTTCATTTTCCTCCTCAAGAACACATGTGGGTTGTATAAGGTCATCTCTAAAGCACAGCTCCAAAACTGTGTGATCCTAATTTCGGAGGAGGAGGGATGAGCTTTTTACAAAGAAATGACTAAATCTTTGGATAGGCATTTCCCATATAAAGCTTCTGACCTATTTGGGGAATAGTGGAGGGGTACTCTAATCTCGGATGATCAAAGAAGGCTACTAACTGAAGTCTTTTCCTTATAAGGAAGCTCACAGAAGTGCTATATATATAAAATTGTGGTGGAATTTGCTAGAAACTCAGGCCTCCTTTGTAATGCCCAGAGATGAATCGGGTGGCAGGCAGCCTATCTTTCATGACAACAGTAGACAGTTGTCACACAGAGAGGCCACTTCGACTTCTACCATTCTCTTGGTTCTTCCAGCTCTGGATAGCAGTCTGATTTTGGCAAGTGATGTGGGAGTTTGAGAATTTAGAAGGAGTGTGGGGGTATTTTTAAGGAGAGAAGGCACAAGACTTAGGAGGCTCTTATGGCCCAGAGTGATTGGAGCACACGGCAGGGGAGGGCCACCTCAATTGCTAAAAGGCCCCGGGTGGGGAGCAGCCAGCTTGGGGTGGGGGGACTGTGGCAACCTCCCTGCCCCCCTCCCCGATATGTGCTGGCTCCAGAAAGAGAAGCTGACTGGCACCAATTCAGTATATTTTAAAAGATGCAGGGCTCAAGTAGAACAGATGCTGGCCCATGTCGAGCCTCAGGCTGCCTCTTGGTGAACTTCGTGACTTTCCCCCTGGCTGCTTTACAAATGGGACCCGAGCTTTTGACTAGAATACCTGGACAGGGACTGGAGAGAGGGTATACTCGGAATTTCACGTTTACAGTATTTGTGACAACCACACCGACAAGTTGTGGTTTCTGTGAGCACAGAAATAGCTTTATTATGCGAATATATCCATATTAGTAAGTGAGATGATCTTCCTTGTTTAAGAAGGAAGGCTAAAACTGCATCTTACTGCAGAAGCACTGATTTTATTTGAAAGGAGGATTCCTCAGTCTCAGCACTCTTGACATTTTTAGGGGTGGGGCAGGTGCGGGCTCTGTCCTGTGTGCTGTGGGCCTCCCAGGCCTCTACCCACTGGATCCAGTAGCACCCACCACTCCCTTCACCCTTGAGTTGTGACAGCCAACATGTTTCCAGACAGCACCATGTCCTGCAGGGGAGCAAAATAAATCACCCTCTGTTGAAGACCACTGCTATGTAAAGCATTTAGAGGCATGGTTTTCTTGCCTGGGCCCCATCCCCCAAACTTTACTGTAAATGTTCGGGGGTGGGGGGTGGGGTATAGAGCATTGGTATTTTGGGTGGTTCTTTAGCATCACCAGGGTTGAGAACCACCAGTTAAGATGACCTTCTGGATCTGGAGTTGTCCCCCTTTCATCTGTGGGTCTTATTTCTCTATGCCTTTTGAGCTCAATCTTTACTTAAAACATGGCCTTTCACACAGTTAGCAACTGTCACAAGAATAGCAGGTGTTCTAAATGAATTATGAGTTTATAATTGCAATGGTGCAATTCCAAAGGGTGTGATTTAAAAAAAAAAAGGTTCTTTTTGGTCTGAGATTATAGTTACATGGTTCCAGATTCAGAAGGTACAAAAGGACATAGAAAAGTCAGCTTCCAACTTTCATCCACTTGCCTCCCCATTTTAACATAACTGGCAACTTGTGATACTTTTGTCTGTACCTTGCTTTTTTACACTTAATTCCTCAGACAACTTTGCATATCTATAACTGCAGAGCTTCCTTTTTCTTTTTATGGCATCTGAGAGTTTGTATGATGTACTCTATTCATTAGCCAGCTCCCTGTTGATGTTTCCAGTCTTTGCTCTGACAACCCATGCTACAGTGAATTATTGCAGTCATCTTTTCATGCATGTGTAAGTATTTGTACAGGACAGATTCCTCAAAATGGGATTTCTACATCAAAGGCTATGTGCATTTGAAATTTGGATCTCCGGGTCTCCTGCATTGCAGGCAGACTCTTTACCATCTGAGCCACCGGGGAAGCCCTGAAATTTGGCTAAATATTGTTAAATTGCCTTCCATTTCGAGGTTGTATCTTTATCCTCTCACTGGAAGTTTCTGCGAGTACCTGTCTTCCTACGGTTCTACCACATGGTTGTCAAACTTTTGATAAGTGAAGAAGGGTATCACGATAGATTTATTTTCTATTTGAGTAAAGAAAAATTTTAAATTGAAGAGTAGTTGATTTATAAGATTAGTTTCAGGTGTACAGCATAATGATTCAGTATTTTTATCAAGTAAAACATTAGCTTTTCATTACGGAAAATTTTAAGCGTACACAGAACTAGAGAGAATAGTATGATGAATTCTTGAATTCATTATATTGATCTCCATGTGCTGTTTGGCTCTGGGTGTTGTGTGTATGTGCAGTCGATTAGATTTTCTTGTCAGTGTTATGCTTGTTTCAGGAGAAATTGTTTTTCTGCCCTAAGACCATAGTTTATCCTTTGAACTATCTGTTCTTTAAAGATTTGGTAGAACTCCACCTATGGAACCTTTTAAACCTAGTGTGTCTTGGGAACTATTGCTCTTTGACAGGCTTCTCTAGCCTGTGGTATTGATCTGTATAGATTTTCTGTCTCTGCTAGAGTCCATTTTGATATATATCTCTAGAAAATTATCCTAGTCATCAAGGTTTTAAATTCAGTTTGCATAGCAGAGATAGTAGTCTCTTAGTCTTAATTTTCTCTGTGGCTGTTCCCCTTTTATTCCTTCTATATTTGTTCTCCCCCCTGCCCTCTTGCTTAATGAGATTAGTCGTTGGTTTCTATGATTGGATTCAGTTCTTAGCTTTATGACTTTTGTTTTCTAGTTCATTAATGTCTACTTTGGCTTTATTAATCCTCTCTGATCTGCTCAGTGTTGTTATTTTTTTCCTTTTTGACTGGGAAAATTCATTTGTTTCTTATTTATTTCAGTATTTAAGGTGACAAGCATTCCTCCGAACACTGCTTTAGCAGCTGATATGTATAGTATTTGATCCTCCCCCCCAGCTCTTCTTCATCTTTGTTTTATTCTTAAGTTAACTAAGAGTTATTAAATTTCCATTGTAAGTGTACCCTGTATTATTATTTTGTTGTTGTTTAGTTTTGTTGCGTTGTGATCAGAGATTGCTATCTGAATCATTATTTCTTTAATTTCTTGATGTTTGCTTTGTAGTCCAGTCAGGGCTCATTTCTTGTCCTTGTTCCTT